TCTTCTTTACACACACTCTCCTTCAAGAGTGGTGATCACACTGGCCTCCCTCATCAGGGTAACAGGATACAAGACTCCACCTTCTGTTACTTCTAGTCCCTTTGCTTCAGAATCTCAAGGTGACCAAGTTCATCCTGTTGGACTCACCGCCCCACACCCACACCCATACACCTTGACATCCTCATGCTGAACTCACAGCTGCCAGCACACCTCACTCTGTGCCCAGCCACCACTGCACTATCTCCCTAGAGGGTATAGCTAGATAGACCCCACTTGTTTGCCCCAACACCAATGCATCACCAGGGGGAGAGTCCCTCTACCACACAAGCCACTCTGGTGCACGCACACACACGCTAATCAAATCACAACTCACTCATCCAGCGGACAACAACAGCCCTGCTCTCACACCCTAGAAAGATGCTGTCCTTTTGAATCTTTCAGGGATCTCATAAAGCTCCGTTTCTTCTAATCAGTCTCCTCCCAGACTGACAGTCTTACTCTTTTCCCTCACAACTCCATCTGGAAATGGAGTTCTTCTCCAGCCCATCACGGGGTTTACTACAGCGGCTAATAAAGCCTCAGTTCACTCCTTCAAAGCGGCGCACTCTTCAGACATCGCCCAGTCTACAGCAGAGCATCCACACTCGGGGAAAGCTAATCTCCCTCTTCCTCTTCCTCGTCCTCTTCCTCGTCCTCGTCCTCGTCCTCGTCCTCGTCCTCGTCCTCGTCCTCGTCCTCGTCCTCGTCCTCGTCCTCGTCCTCGTCCCACCACCACCACCACCACCACCACCACCATAACTACAGCAAGACCAAACCCCTGTTACATCTTTTTCTCTTTTCAAGACGTTTTAAACCACTCCCACACCTGCCGTTCATTCCACTTATTCAGGCCAGGTGTGGTTTGCACGGCAACGCGTCTCCCTTAATCTGGGGCTCCGTCCCCCAGACCACAATCTACTTTAAAACATGGGCAGTTGAGGGAAGGCGTTATTCATTTTTTTTTTACCAAAGTTTTCAAGTTTTTTAAAAATAATTTTAAAGGTAAGCAAACAATTGCAATACTTTATTCATCCCAAAGGACCAATTTAAGATGGTAGATAATAGTAAAAACCATGCTAAAGTTTTCATTTACAAAAAAAGCGATTGATTCATACGTGATATTATATATTATATAGGGGATATATGCGCAACATTGTAGTTTCCTTGTTCAGAACATATTCCTGAACCAAATTAACAGGAACAGTTTCAGAAAAAAAAAAGCTGTCTATGCTTGGATCACATCAGATCGGGTACGTGATTTTAATTTATAAGGACTTGTTTACAAAGACTATTCCAGTAAACAGGTAAAACTTGTACACCCACGTTTCCATGCTGGTTCACTGGCAGGGTAGTGTAATGAAAATGCGGTAAAATGATAAATTGATTTAATAAGCAAATATGGACTTTGAAGGCTCAAGAATGTCCCAAGCACCAGAGAGACCTCTACAGGTGTCATTGAGTATCTGCACGGTATGAATTGCTAATTCCCTAGGTCCTCCCACACACAATTACATGCGGAAAGACTACTGCTCATGCAGTTTTGAAGATGCAGTCTAACAACCTTTTTTTAAGTGTCAATATACAGTGGCATATTAATCCGTGTAAACGGTTGTATGCTATTATCAGCTATAGGTTTCACTTTTGCATATTTACGCATGGATGTATTCTACAACAGTATTTGGGGTTTGACAGATAATTCAACTTTGTATAATCTGAGTTGCATCAGGGTACTAAAGTTATTGTTTTCTATTAAATGCAGTTAGGCTGAATAGTTCTATATTCGAAATCTCAGCAACTTTGAGAATAACTATTTGATCACGGTCATTCTAAAAGCAGAAAAATCCCAAAACTATTAAACATCTAGATTAAAATTCACTCGAACTTTATGCAAACATGGGCCAATATTCTACGAGACCTCGGGGAAAAAAAACATTTTATTGGAATTTCATTTTTTCAAAAACCTGCCTTCTGCCCTTTCCTTCTGCGTGCACAAATTAGACATTAAAAAGGTCTGTATCCTACAAAACATGAGAATGTAAAGTGTAAACATAATGCTAAATAAAGTACCTTTTCTCCAAGTACCAAGTTTTCTTTTTACCTTAATACATTTATATTGCTCGGCAACAATTTATACCTTGAATGATACACAAATTCCCTATATAGAAGGAACACTACATCACTAAACGTCCTAAATTTTGAAATGTTTGCCACAACCATGTCTATCAAATAATGCACACAGACGGTCAACGTGTGGCGTTTTTTACACCATATTGCTGCGGTTAACAGTCTTAAGGTTAGATTTTACGGTGAGACTGATTAATACGATAACTTTATTTTCTGGAAGACCGTGGTCCAATACTGGATGGCCCCGCCCCCGATATTATAGCTTGCTTCCGGGACGGCCATTTTGTATTTTGGTGAGGAAGTGGGTTCCTTTGCGACTGTTTATACAGGTTTGTGGGCCATTTATCTTGAAATTCTGTTTTGCAGACGTGAAAATGTGTGTGCAATTCAGAAAGATACCAAATATCCAGTGAAGCTGTACTGTTCAATGAATTGTGATAGCTTCAAGCCGGTAATTGCGAGTTAGCCTCTATTAACTGGTGAGATACGGGTTTTTGTGTCTCTGCATACCACACTGCGATACTCTGGTGCTGCATTTCAGTTGCTTTGTAACTCAATGATATGATAGCAATGTTAGCAATATGTTTTCAGATATGTTTGAAGGTGCCACGCTCCGCACCTTCATTTAGATTTATTTTCTTGTCTGTGCAAACCTAAACTCTACACGCAAGAGGTTTTACAAGGGCATGAGTACGTGCAGATAATGTAGAAAACATGGGTCCAACTGAAAGAATGCTTCATTTTTACAGAGCCAAAAACGATTCTGGCAATTGTGCTTTAAGCTTTCATCGTTTATTCACATGCAAAATCCTCATCAGCTACTCAGCAGTAGCACAGCAAAAGTGTTGATCTTGAAAATGTCTACATAGTACAGTAGTGTTTAGTGTGCACTGAGTACTGCGGTCACGCACAGTGGGAGTTTTCAATTGATCTTTTGAAAATGTTGTATTCTAAGATGTATTTTATACGTGCACTCACACTTTTAGTGATATATATACATAGTTTCTGATTTTTCCGTTCCATGTTATTTTTTTTGTCAACATTTCATTCTTACACTTATCAGGAGTATTGTCAGCGCACGATGGGTGACATTAAAAACTTCCTTTACGCCTGGTGTGGAAAGAGGAAAGTCACTCCCAACTATGAAATTCGAGCAGCTGGAAACAAAAACCGACAGAAATTTATGTGTGAGGTATGCATCTTGTTGTATGTCCTGTGTACTTTTTTTTTTCAGGTTGACTTCTGTATGATCTGTTTCAATGCAAGGCAGAACAAGTAGGTTAGCCTTAATATGTGGATGGTTCTACATTTATCCTGCTGCTTTATAGGTGATTACAGCTTCTTCGGAGTCATCTTCTTAAACCTACTTCAAATATCTGACAAATAATTCATCAGCAAGACCAAAAATAGGGATTAGGAAAATGTAAATACTTCTTTCTCTTTAACAATGGCTGCTTTGTTTTAGACTTCCAGCAGTTTTAAAACGGATCAGTGGTTCGGGAAGCTTGCGTGTTGTCAGATTGCCGCTAAAATGTGCAGTTTAATTCACTTGTGTCCTCTCAGGTCCGTGTCGAGGGTTTCAACTACACTGGAATGGGAAACTCCACCAATAAGAAGGATGCTCAAGCCAATGCTGCCAGAGATTTCGTCAATTACCTTGTCCGTATGGGGGAAGTGAATGCTAGTGACGTCCCTGCATTGGGGGTTAGTAGGCGAATGTATTTGTAAATGGGTGTTAAGGTTACTGGTTAGTTGCTTTTATCCCAATGTTTTCTTTTGGTTTAAAGGCCAGTTTACCAGCCAGTGATTGTCCTGATGGTGGAGGAGGGGGAGGAGCAGGTGCAGGCAGCGGCGGCGGCTTTGGAAATCTGCCTCCAAACGGACCTATTCCTCCACATCTGATTGTAAAGGCTGAGCAAGGTGAGATGCCAGGAGATCCCTGGAGCAAGTAATAATGGGGACTGATTACACGTGGTTGTCATATGAACATATCAGACTGCCACTTGGCTGGCAGATGGATAATTAGAGCTTAATAGTGTTTTCTATAGGTAAAAAAAGAAAGTGTGTGTGTAGTGCTAATGGTATCATCTATTAACAGTATAGTGACAGTATATACTAAACTGATGGACAGTGATATGGTAAAATGATTGTTGATTTGACCAGGAAAACTTCGTTGTACACAACTCAGGTTCTGAAGCAGGACCTAGCTCGGGACCTGTTCCAGGGGTGACTGGTTTGGGCTATTCTGGTTTTAACAATGCCCAGTGGGATCGTGGCGCCAATCTTAAGGATTACTACTCAAAGAAGGAGGAACAAGAAGCACAAGCAGTAAGCCTTATTAATCCATTATTCTGCAGTTTTCCAAGCTGGTTAACAGAATGGTTTTCAAACTTCATTTAATAAAGGAAAACATTGATGCATTCTATTTTTTCGGTCTAATGTAAGTAACTTTATGATACTTGACATGAGATTAGTTTCTAGAGAATCTTTATAAAGCTATGGGTCAAATTTCCTTTCAGACTTTCCATAGAGAAGGTGCTTCCATAACCCTTTCCTTTTAAATGTTACACAGATGTCCATTATTACCAGTAACTCCTGCTTTTTTTTTTTGTCTTGTAGACTCTCGAGTCTGAAGAAGTTGATTTGAATGCTGGGCTTCATGGTAACTGGACTCTAGAGAATGCCAAAGCCCGTCTGAACCAGTTCTTTCAGAAGGAAAAGAACCAGTCAGACTACAAATACAGCCAAGTTGGGCCTGACCACAACAGGTCTGGGGGATCCACTGGAGGTTCTTTTGTCAGAAAATGTTTTTTGGTCATTTGTCCATTCCTTTGATATTCAGCTTTTCACCTTTTACTAGTGTTATGTGAACCATGCTTTGAGTGAATAGTGAAAAATGTTATGGCAGCATCTCTGTTATGCAAATGTGATGATGATATGAAGTTATTTAAATGAGGAGCGTTAGAAGCTTTTAGTTTTGGCAGGTCAAGAGTTCTTAAGACTATATAACACTATGATCTTATTAATGCATTTAAACTCAGTTATGACTTTTTGGCTAAGTTACTGTGAAGCAGTTTTAGTGTTTTTCTAAGACATCGGCTTCTGTATCTGCATAAAAGTGTTGAAATGTGTATGCTGCTCTGCTGAAGCTGCAGTGTTTCTGTGAATTGATAATGTCCTAGGTGGGCAAGCCTTAAATCAAACTGTCTCCACTCTTTTGTGCATGTGAAAGGGTTAGCTGGGTTTGAATTGCAAAAACATAAGTGTCCTGATTTATAAAGTAAGGCAGTGGCTCTAGGTTTTTTTAGGACGTTCTTTCTGTGTGGTGACAGTATGTTTCTCAGCTAGCATGTGATACAGAGAGAGCTTTTTTGGGTGTATCATGAACCCCCAGGAAGGCTCGGAGAATATCAGTGTTTTTAAGTCATACCTTGGTTTTTGTCATTGACATTTCCACAGTTTAATCCCTTTTGAGATCTCTGAATGTTCTGTCTTTGCAGACCTTATGTTACATGCTTAAACATTTAAAAATTGCACAACCTTAATGTGTTGCTGCATAATGGAAGATTTTCCTATTGCTTTATATTGTTTTTCGTTAAACGAGGTAATATTGTGGGAGATGGTAACACCAGAAATCACTATCTTAATGTTACAAAACATGTGACATGACTTAGGCATCACTAAGCTGTCACATGGTTGCATCCAGTGGGGGAACATAGTAACGTACATGGTTCTGATTTCTGGTGTTGCTGTTCCATTAGGTTTTCGAGAAGCCCACAAGGCAGATGGGACTAAGGTCATTGTTAAGCCTGGCAGAGAAACATACTGACATCCAAGATTAATTGTAGCAGTGGATAATAGGCCTCTAAGAGGCAAACTTCACTTTCTCTTGAAGCTGCTGTGCTTCAAAGGTCAGTTCTCCGTTGGTTTAAATAATTACACTTCATCGCTTCCTTTGTGAGTCTGCTGTTGGTTAATGTATTGGCAGTCGTAATGGCTTTGACAGTACATTTTTTCTCTTCTAGGTGTTATTGAAATTTGCCTTCACTTTTTACATTTTGTAGATAACTGTTTTATCCGTAAAATCGAATGTTTAAATGTGCTTTTGTAGTTACAAAAACTGAAAGAAATGTTTTCTCTTCAGACCTGTCAGTTTATAAGGGTTGTGTTTCTTTCATAACCTGAAATTTAAAATGCAATTTATATACACAAAAAAGCAGTCTTTGAAATCGCATCAATACAAAATTAGAAGGAGAAATAATGTATGTAGTTGTGTGTGCATCGCCGGCGTTCTTCAGTTTGATAAAAGGTTGTGCTGAAGTGACTTGAGCCCTACATTTGAAGCTGGCAAAAATTATTTTTTGTGTCCAAACGCAACCACTCATTTCACTTACCAAGCTGTTTTTTAGCTTCTGTAGTTAAATTATAGTATTGTTTTTATGTAAATGTTTGGAGAAAAATGCTGATCTCACCCTTTATGTTGTTACAGGAGTTTTATTGCTGAAATGAGTATTTTTGTAAGGCAACTGGGCAGAAGTAAGTACTATTCCTTCTTTTACACTTTGGATAAAAGTTAACTCATAATTCATTCCTTTTTTTTTGCTGAATTTTGTCTGAATTTTGAAGACTTTTTACACTTGGATCTTTCCAAAAAACGTAATGTATTTGCGCTCCATTGTAAATGGATTCGGTCTGTGCCTAACCTGTTTTTATTTTTGACAGAAATCTTTGCCCGTGAGCATGGCTCTAACAAGAAGCTGGCTGCCCAGTCCTGCGCGCTCTCTCTTGTTAGACAGCTCTACCATCTTGGAGTAATTGAGGCTTACACGGGACAAACCAAAAAGAAAGAAGGAGAAACGGTGAGTGGGGTAGCTTTTGTGTAACGGGGTGTGTTGGAAAGAACTTTGAGATCGATTTGTGTCTGAGTCTTGAAATAAAGGGGGGTTTGTGACCTGGACTTCATTATCGAAAATGAATTATTTTTCCCTGACTTGAAATTTAAAAATCAACATGTTACAATTAAATTTCACTATGGCTATACACACATTGCTCAGGTGGCAGGCCTTTTGGATTAAATTCTGTTCCAGATGGTTCTTGAAAGGTCACATATAGCCGAATCAGACCACCACAGAAGTGTAAAACTTGTTGTTCTCTGTTCACGCAGCTGGAAGCCTTTGAAGTAAATGTTACTGACGATTTGCAGCGGCAGCTGCACTCTGTCGTTCAGGAGCTGGGCCTTCAGATTCCTCTACCGGTGAGCTCTCTTAAGACAAACATGGCTGGTGAAACTTCAGTAGCATTACATTTGTTACAACCGAGAATTATGTATATGTTGAGTGTAATAGAAGTGTAACGGGTGGAATTGTTGAGTGGCACAACTTGTTGAGTCGTCAACATATTCCTTGTGTAAATACTCCAAACACTTTTTCACATGTTCTCTGAACCTGTGTTTTATTTTAAATATGCTTTGTTGGCAGACTGTTACTGTCAATGCTACAGTCTCTTAAGGACCCATTTGAATCTTTTTTTCCTTGAAGTCTTGGGTGAATTGCGAGAATAATATGAATGAATTTGGCAATTTTTTTTTTTTTTACATGCCCAGCCCGAAGCCCCCGGCAATCCTGTTTCATTGATACAGGGCAAAATTGCCCATTTTGAGCCCTCCCAGAAGCAGAGCATGGCTGGTGTAGTGCCGTGGTCACCACCACAAGTCAACTGGAACCCCTGGACAAGCAGTAATATTGATGATGGACCTCTTGCTTTTGTAAGTGCTGAGCTGTTTCTGTTCTTTCTGCATCATTAAGTAGTTTTAGTGCTCCCTGTGGCATTTTCATTTTACATATCTTGTGTGAGAAGATCTTGGGGAACTATCTGTGCTGCCTGACTTGTATTACCCATATTATTTCATTTGTGTTCAGTCTTTCGTGAATTTTCATTATTTGCTTAGAGAACACCACTACAGCTGAATGCAAGTTCTGGTGAGAAATTAAGGATTCTTTTTGTTTTGTTTTTTCCCTCCCAGTGTACCCCGGAACAGATCAGTTCAGATCTACAAAATGAACTGATGTATCAGCTGGAACATGACCAAACCCTGCAACAGGTGTGCGTCACGTGCAGTACTTTATTTCTTTATTCTTTATGGTGCACAGAATTTCATCCTGTGGACACAGCATAATTTTGATCACCCAGACATCTCCATTTCAGATTCTTCAAGAGCGTGAGCAGCTGCCCGTGAAGAAGTTTGAACAGGAGATTATGACTGCAATCCACAGTAATTCTGTCGTCATCATTAGAGGTGCCACAGGCTGTGGAAAAACCACTCAGGTTCCGCAGTATATCCTGGATGAATACATCAAGAATGGAAAAGCTTCAGATTGTAACATTGTTGTCACCCAGGTAAGGACACAAAAAAAGTGTGACCACTGAATGAGAGGACAACAAAGTAATCTAAAATAGACATGTAAAAACTGTCTAGAATACAACAAAATGCTGTTTATCTTTGTTTTGGTAGCCTCGCCGAATCAGTGCGGTTTCTGTAGCTGAACGTGTCGGCTCTGAGCGGGGCGAAGATTTGGGGAAAAGCTGTGGGTACAGTGTGCGTTTCGAGTCCATCCTGCCCAGACCCCACGCCAGCATTCTTTTCTGCACAGTGGGTAGGTGTCGCTTACAGTCAGAGATTTAGCCAGACTGGGGGAAATTTGTGTCTCTCTGGTGACACTGCAAACCCACAGGTACTTGACAAGATGCAGGCGTGCTGAGAGTCATTTGCACACCAATCAGTTGTGTGCCAGTTCTTAGAGAATCCCTGCTCACTATTTGGTTCTGTCACTAGCTTTAGAAAAGAGATTGCTGGACTGAAGAGCTCAGCCTGTGCTCTGAGAACAAGCCTGTTCCAATTCAGCCTTTACTTTGAAATAAGAGGCATAAGCTATAGCATTTCCATCTTGACAATGAGAGGATATTCCAATTTTAAGTAGGTTCATTTGGGTGTTTTTAATTGTAGTATTTTTTTTTTCTTCTGCAGGTGTACTGCTAAGAAAATTGGAATCTGGTATTCGAGGAATCAGTCATGTCATTGTGGATGAAATTCATGAAAGAGATCTGAATGTCAGTATTTCACATTTAATTTTTTCTAGATCTTAAAGCCTCAGTGATTTTGAATATAAAAATTCTGAGTATTTGTCACATTGCAATCTTGTTTTTGAGATCTTAGTTGAAGAGGGACTAAAATGTTTTTCCTGTTTCAGACTGACTTTCTTATGGTTGTCCTGAGGGATGTTGTACAGGCTTTCCCAGAAATCAGAGTCATTCTCATGTCTGCTACTATTGACACCACCATGTTCCGTGAATATTTCTTCAACTGTCCAGTGATAGAGGTTTTTGGACGAACATATCCAGTTCAAGGTTTGTTTTTAAAATGCTTGAAAAATATTTTTTGCAGCTGTAATCAAGATTGTTTCATTACTTTTTGGATTAAGGCATTACGTTCATACTGATATAGTTTTTCACATGCAGACAACTTATCCAAAGTGCACTGTTTGTGTGACTGTGTATCATATGCACAATGCAAGCCAAATAATGCAGTTTTCCTTATCAAGAGTATTTCCTGGAGGACTGTATCCAGATGACTCAGTTTGTTCCTCCCCCATCTGATAAAAAGAAAAAGGATAAAGATGAAGAGGGTGGAGATGAAGAGGTAATTCTTTATTGCTCTTTATCCTGATTTTGCTTGAATGCTTTCGACAGTAGCTCTACATGACCATAAGGTCATATTGTGATCCTACTGTGCAGTCAGTCCTGCCATTTATCAGTTTCATTGCAAAGTTTGAATGTCTTATTACATTTATCCTAGATTAGCAAGCAGACTGTTGCAATTATTTAAATTCCAGTTATTTTTAAGCATCGCTCTGTTTCAGACAAACTGTAATGTTATATGTGGACCAGAATATGGCCCCGAGACCAAAAACTCCATGGCCCAGATAAATGAGAAGGAAACGCCCTTTGAACTGATTGAAGCTTTGCTGAAATACATTGAAACACTCAGCGTTCCTGGAGCTGTGCTGGTGTTCTTGCCTGGCTGGAATCTCATTTACTCTATGCAGAGGCATCTGGAGATGAATCCACATTTTGGTAGGTGGCTTTCTAATTCGGCACTGCAGAGATTTTGAAATAAGTGTTGCCCTTCTGTGGATTTTATTTTATTGTTATTCATTTCCTCTCTTTTTCTTAGCAAGTCACCGCTATAGGGTTTTGCCTTTACACTCCCAGATTCCACGTGAGGAACAGAGGAGAGTGTTTGATCCTGTGCCCGACAATGTTACAAAGGTTAGTCATGTTCTGCAGTGTTTTATTGTTATAAACCTTTTTTTTTAATATTTGGGTTCATAGGTGAAATGGATATTGTCTAATTTGGCTCCCACCAAATTAATTTGGCCTTAGTGGTATTTTAATTGCCCTTTAAACATGTGTTATAAAAAATAGCTAGAGCTGTGTAATTTCGGAAAAATGACAAATGTAGTTCAGAGCTAATTTTTATTATTTCTTCCCTTTAAAAAATGCATTCTGCATCTTTATATAGCTAAAACTCAATTGCTCTTAAAAACTATATGAAGATTTTACAATGTTTGCACTGTATGTGAGAGATGATTTTGTTTTTACAGGTTATCTTGTCCACAAATATTGCAGAGACCAGTATTACAATCAATGATGTTGTCTACGTGATTGACTCCTGCAAGTAAGTTCTTGTTAATGTTCTATTAACTTGTAAATTGTAGATCTGTTAAATCCATTAATAGGTCAAAGGAGCAATTATATTTAATTTAAGCTTATAAATTGCCCCCCCCCCCCCCGGGAACAAATCTACCTAGTTCTCCTGGATAGCCTACTTGTGTAATATGATTTGATGACTTAGAGCTGTGTTCTCGTTTTTAAATTAAAGGCAAAAGGTTAAACTGTTTACAGCCCACAACAACATGACTAACTATGCTACAGTCTGGGCATCCAAGACAAATTTGGAACAGCGGAAAGGCAGAGCTGGCCGAGTCCGACCTGGATTCTGTTTCCATCTGTGTAGCAGAACACGCTTTGAAAGGTAAAGCAAGTCCTCATTTACATGTTCGAAATGACCTAGTACAGAACATCTGGTCACTTTGCAAGCATTCATTTACATTTTCATCCTTTGGGTTTCTTTCATTTTTTTTCTTGCGCTGGTGTTAATTAGAAGAATCTTAGTTGACGCTCTCATCATTAGCTGAGCAGCACGCTGCTTAGAAACCTAGAAACTATCAATAGGGATTGCATTTCCTAGCACATTGGGATTGAAAACATCTTGATGCACGTAACAGTGAAATTCCTAAGATGACAAAAAAGTGAATCCTGTTCCTGCCATTTTTTTCCCCAGACTCGAAACACACATGACCCCTGAGATTTTCCGTACTCCTCTGCATGAAGTAGCCCTCAGCATCAAGCTTCTAAGGCTTGGGGGCATTGGACATTTCTTATCAAAAGCTATTGAGCCTCCTCCCTTGGATGCAGTTATTGAAGCAGAGCATACTTTGAGAGGTACAATTTATACAAGTGGTCCTTAGTCTTTGTCCTGGGAGACCCACTGTCTGCTGGTTTTAGTTCTTCCTGGGCACTTAATCACTGGTACTAATTGGTGCATATAATAAATCTGCTTGGGACTTTTTCTGTTCTCAGGCCTGGGTTTTAAAAATATTTTTAACTTGTTTAACATGTTAACATGCTTCAAGACCACATACCACTTTTAAATTAAGGACTCTGCTAAACCTGACGTTTATTCACTTTAATGCGCTTGGGTATGATAAGCAACCTACAGCTTGCTAATTTAAGATTCTGTTCCTTATTTCTGCTTAAAAAAAACTCATTTCATCATAAACTAGTCACATATTAACAGAGGAGTTGAAATGTCAGTGTATTCGTGCACTTAATATTTTTCAGTCTGCTTAAATAGTTGGTCACATCTGATCTCACAAATCTGAATGAAGGCTGTTTTTAAACCTTCAATCCCTAATTAAGAGGGTTGTTATCAATTTCAAATTCCATTCAGGTTTTTATGACCTGAAAGCTAACTTTAAAAATAAAAACTGAAATCAATTAGCCTGTAATTAATTCAGCAGGAGCAAATACAACATTATAAAAGCAGGAACACCAGAACAAGGATCAAGCACCACTAATTTGCACATCAGGCTAATATAGTTTCTTGGCATTTTTTTTTTAAAACCTATCCAGTAATGCAAATGAACTTTTGTTATTTTAAGAACTGGATGCTTTGGATACCAATGATGAGTTGACCCCTCTAGGCAGAATCCTTGCCAAACTCCCCATTGAACCACGTCTTGGAAAGATGATGATTATGGGCTGCATTATCAAGTGAGTCTTATAATCTTTACAATTGGTTAATTTCATACCAGTCGTGCAATCTAAAGGTCTTAAATGTCCTTGTGTACTCATGACCTATATATAGAAGTTGTGAATGTGTATATATAAATGAACGAATGGATAAAAATTGCTTAGCAACTGCAACAAGATTTTCCCTGCCTCTCTTCCAGTGTTGGCGATGCTGTGTGCACAATATCAGCCGCCACTTGTTTCCCTGAGCCTTTCATCAATGAAGGGAAGCGTCTGGGGTTTGTCCACAGGAACTTTGCAGGGACTAGGTTCTCGGATCACGTAGCCCTTCTTTCTGTGTTCCAGGCCTGGGATGATGCCAGGTATGTTCGTTTAAATGACTAATCCAAATTTTAAACTCTATTCTTAATATCCAATCCTGTGGTTAATCCTCATACATCTAGTTCTGTAACCCCATGACTATCTTTATTGCCAGATATTCTTGTCTTTACTTGTAGAATGGGTGGCGAAGACGCAGAAGTTCGATTTTGTGAGCACAAAAGGCTAAACATGGCCACTCTGCGGATGACATGGGAGGCTAAAGTGCAGCTTAAGGATATCCTCGTTAATTCTGGATTTCCCGAAGGTAAACATTTTGTGGTGTTTTCACTTGATTGGGGAAACCTAGAAATTGTGGGTTTGTTTTGAAGTGTGTATAATTTTGCTTTTGAGTTTTCAGAAGGTTGTTTTATTTTTCAGAGTGCTTGATGACACAGATGTTCAATAACTTCGGGCCAGATAACAATCTGGATGTGGTCATCTCCTTGCTGACATTTGGCTTTTATCCCAACGTTTGCTATCACAAGGAGAAAAGGAAGATCCTCACCACCGAGGGGCGCAATGCTTTAATCCACAAATCCTCTGTTAACTGTCCCTTCAGCAGCCAAGACATGAAATATCCTTCACCATTCTTTGTGTTTGGAGAAAAGGTGAGTTTGCTCATGAGGGATGCAGAAGGGTATAATGTAAAGCATGTCAATTTTAACTGCAAAATATTTTTCTTATTTGGGCAGTGAAAGCAACTGCCATCATAATAAATGAAATTTGTGGGCATTCAGAAGGGATAGTTGTTGTAACCCTGATTTCATATAACACTGCATTTTAAATTTTGTGCAGATCAGGACAAGGGCCATCTCGGCAAAAGGAATGACTTTGGTCAGCCCTCTTCAGCTGATTCTGTTTGGGTCAAAGAAAATCACTTCAGATGGTGAACTTATTTTACTTGATGAATGGTAAATATCGATTCTGTATTCTTTTGCCTATATAATAAGTTTGTTATAAATTAATATTAGTAATTATTAACCAGAATTAACTACAAATATGAAATTGTGTTTCTGAATCTGCATAGTACAGAAAATAAATTATTTGGAGTATATATATTTACTGCTTGTACTCTCAACTATTCATTTTTTGACTTGTTTCACAAGAACCTGTAAAGGCTGCCTCGGCCTATACTACTGGTAGCCTGGGATTCTCACTTTTCTTTTTATGTCCATGACAGTCTAGTTTATATAAAGGATTATCCTTTTACTAGAACACATGGATGAAATACTCTAGCTTTGACTGAAATTCCAGAAGAGCTTTTGCATATAGTATAGTAAATTGCATATAGTAAGGTTGTTCCAACTATACCTGAGGCCCAGTACTATTTGGTGAATTGTCATCTCTTTCTAGGATAAAACTGAAGATGCCTCATGATGTTGCTGCCTGTATTGCTGCTCTCAGAACAGGAGTAGAGGCACTTGTTGTCGAAGTAACTAAAGATCCTGAATACATAAGACAGATGGGTCCTGTGAATGAACGCATGTTGAACATCATTCGTCAAATTTCAAAACCCTCTGCCGCAGGGATACACCTAATGGTGAACAACTCAAGGTAATTTAATTTTTCTGATATTTGGTTTTGAGCTGTGCCCTGAAGGTCAGCTGAATTGTTCATGACATGTTGTATTAAACCAACAGGATATTCATCTAGTTATCCAGTTTGAACATTTTTTTTTTCTCTGTGACAAATAATGATTTTTATTTTCCAGGTTTGGGGATGGCCCACGGCCTCCGAAGATGGCGCGGTATGAGGGTGGTGGGGGCTACAGAGGCCGAGGAGGCTACCAGGGCGGGGGTGGCTACGGAGGAGGGGGTGGCTACGGAGGAGGTGGCTACGGAAGAGGTGGTGGATATGGAGGATTTGGAAATGGAGGCGGTGGTGGTGGATACAGAGGAGGGGGCTATGGAGGAGGGGGTGGAGGCTTCAGAGGCTCAGGCTATGGGGGATACAGGGGAGGTGGAGGACACAGGGGAGGAGGGGGTTACAGAGGTGGTGCATTTTAGGAACCGTTTATGCTAAAGGGATACTGCTTGGGTGTATTTTTCCTAAAAGGCCATGGTGTATGGAAATCCTTATGTTCAGTAAACCTTTAAAACTTTGGACTTGTGGTTCTCAGAGGTTTTTTTTTTTACTTTCAATCTGTCTTTGTGGAGTTTGTTTCTAAATTTAGTATGCAGTTAGTGCTTTAGGTCATGTGTGCCCAACTCCAGGTATCAATATATGCTGTCCAGCAGATTTTCTAGGTCTCTTTAAATCCATCCTCTTAAGAATGAGAAATTTGATTTGTACAGTTAAGCAAATATTGAGTTTAGTTAGGTAATTAAGGGCTCATGAGGAAGAAAAAGCAGAAACTGTCTGGTCCTCCAGGACAGGAGTTTTATACCTCTGAGCGAAGATATTCAGTTCTCGATCTCTGCACAGTGAATTGCAATAGAATGCTTGTAAAATATCTGGACTTCAGCTAGGCTTGGAGTGTCAAATTGTTTTAAAATAAAAGGCAAATCTGTATGTCAAATGTAAGGAATCCACTAAATGTAAAAAAGGCAATATGTGAATAACAAACTCTACCCACAGTGGATTTAAATAAAACATTTAAAGTTGATTTTTATTGGTTTGCTTTAAGTAGTCTTTCCATGGTACACATTTGTAATAAACATCAATAATACATGGCATAATGCACCATACAGTATGAAGATTGGGAACTTTTAAAATATAGTTTTCAGGTTTTTAACAACATTTGAGAGAGCAATCTTTCATCCATCCATTTTTAACTTAAAAATATCAGTGTTCAGTTCCATTCAGCTTAAATGAATTTGTAGGTAAACAAAACTTTTATTAATCTGTGATACTGGGGAGTGGATTTGTATGTGGATTTTAGGATGGAACCACTCCTGTAGCTGATTTGATTTTTTTACAACTCCTAAAGAACTGAATGGAATGTTTTTGATAAACATAAAAAGGCACATTAAAAGTTTTCATAGTTAAAAAATATCTTGGATTTTGTCAGATTAAGAAGATGCAGAAATATTATGGAGACACCCAATGTCTCCCATGGTATTGGCTTCAAGTTTATTAGTATTAATTTCAAGACTAAGGTTTTGTATTGCCTTTGAAAGGAGATCTGTCTCTCTTTGGTCTCCACTAGAAAGCTGCTCCAGATCATCCTCATGTATTTGACAAAGATTATTGGGTCCAATGATGGTTACTCCATAGCCTTGGTTGTTATGAATATAGTTATTGCGCATCTTCAGTTTTGGCTCTGGAAGAACCTGTTAATAAATCAATATATAACAAGCCATTGAGTATCCATAATGCTACTGTGCTCTGTGTTACAAAAGGATGAACATCCAACATTTATTATTAAAATGAAGTGTCTGGTCTCCATGTTAAAGCCAGTTTGGCCTTTAACTTTTTCTAAAATACTGCTTTTGATTAATCAAATCATCTTTCAAGTAAAAATAGTCAAGAAGTAAATATACTTAAGTTACACTTAAAAGTAAAATGAGTAATCTAAAACATGTTTAAGCATTTATGATTCAGGATATATCTGATTTAATATTAAGAATGTTTGTATAGGTGTTACCTTTACAGAGATGCCTCCTAGTGAGGTTTTCAAGATATCTTTGAAATTTGATGTCTTGAAATTGCTACAGTGGTGGATATTATTCCCCTCCAGTTCTGCAACACTTCCAGGATAGAGTTCTACCCCTGCCCCCTGGAGAGAATAAATACTTACACTCAGTTATTAAATTAGGTATATAATGAAAGATGGAGACAAGTCATTCAACATGTTATGTGGCTGAAAATTAATTCAGCTGTCATTAAAGGAAATAACCTAACATTTACCTTTATAATATTTTAGATACTTAACAGGCAGCTATGCATGTATGGCAGTATGTCTTTTAAAATGAGTTTCAAAGATGAGAGTTTTTTTGTTAGGTTACCTGAGCACCAAAGATCTCGCAGTTTTTCATAACCAAGGTAGCTCCTGTCAGAACGCAGATGCCAGTCCCTTCGCACTTCAGTATGCAATTCTCCAAAGTCATTTGACCAGATTCTACTACTATAATGCCATCACAGGTCTCACGCTGAACTAAAGTTAGGTTCATCAGAGTTACATTTGAGGCTTTGGATGCAATAAAAGTATCATGTGTTGGATCTGAAAAAATAACTGCATCTTTTTGGTTTTGAGTTCCTAAAGACAAAAAATAAAGCAATTAAAAAGTCACCATGTGTGCAGTGTATACCATATATGAATTAACATTGAGTTCAATTAATTTGTACCTTGTATAGTGATGTCATCTACCAAACAACTAAGTGCGGCAGCCTGATATTTCCCTGGGAAAACCATCACTATGTCTCCAGAGAAGCAGGAGTCTAGAGCTGCAGATAGACTGTCATGCTGTTGAATCAGGGTGTCAGCAGAGAGGTTCTTTATCTGCTCTTCCAAAGAAAGATGCTCCATTAAAACAGTGTAAAAGAATTTCACACAGTTCTCTTCAGTTTTGGTTATTAGTTGAAGAGCTATTCTACACAAAATGTTAAAAGTATAATACTGCAGTGGTTTATTTAGCAAGTAACTGTATTAACTGATAAATTTGACTTATGAAAACTTTTTACAAACATACCATATCAGCTGTCATTATCTGGGTTACTATATGGTTTACAATTTTTCCAGAGGCCCTTTGACCTTTTCTTCGTTTAAATATTCTGGGAAAGAATGGTCCATGAGCCCTGTGATTAAGGAAAGAATTATTGTATAATATGCTTCTGATATCTGCTTTCGATTATGTCAGCTTGTCCCCCTTAAACCCGCTTAAAGGTTAAAGATGTTTAAAAACCTAATACAAAATATTACTTCACCTAGCAATGAAAAGCTACTATACAATGTTAAATCAAAAGATAAATGATGTAATATGGTAACTGGGGAACTAATGAAGCTCTTAAAATATAAATAAAACTCTTACCTGAGGCGCAAGTCTTCCCATAATCTTAGAAATCTAGCAAGCATTAAGATTTCATAGTGCTTTTTCCAGCATTCAACAGCTTCTATAGGTAATGGATCATCTCCAATGGTGCTCTGATACTCAGTCAGCTCTAATTGTTTATTCCTGTATTCCTCTAGGGTCTTCTTAAAACGCGTACCAATTGGGCCTGGAATAGTCCCATCCTGAATGTCATAGTACCTGTAAAAGGCATGGATGTAAGATGTAAAAACAATTTGGAAATTTTAAAATAGAAGTTACATTTCCTAACTTAATACTAGAGCTACAGGGAGTGGGGGAAAATACAAGGAACCACTGGAGTAAACACCAAATATATTGGGGGGAAAAAAGAGCATCCACATGCAAATAATGTTACCAACAAGTAATGGGCTACCAAGCAAGCAAATGTAACATGTTCAGATGAATCATCCTTTATTATGTTCTCGACAAACATGTGTGCCGACTTTTAAGAACTCTACTACCCTGAGTGCTTGGTAGGGTTCCGTAATGTTGTGGGGCACAACTTCCTTAGTTTGGGTTCATTTGTTCCATTAGAAGAAAAGGTCAATACTGTACATATTGTTATTTAGTGATACTCATCATCTTTACACCATGTTGTAACATTTCTTTCTTGCTTGGAGCAGTGTCTTTCAGGGTGGCAATGCTGCTTTCCACAGTGCATGTATGATTGCCCAATGGTTTAATGAGCATGACATTGCTGTTGTCCATACTGTATGTTATGGCCTCAGTCACCAGATCTCAACCCAATCAAGCTTTTAATGGATATTCTGGAATGATGCCTTAATGACTCTTCTGCACCTCTATTATTTAGCACTGAATTGACTCCGTTGTGGGGAAAAAAAGATGTCACATCCATTCTGCAGAATTCCGGACTGCAGTCAATTCTATACTACAGGATACAGAGGTAGCTCAACACCTATTAAGTGAAGTTACATTGGTGTTTCCATTTTTGCCCATTTATCTTTGTAGTTTTCATTTCTTGCTTGAATGGCAAGTGTAAACACTCACAGCTGTAGGCGTTTCTCAATAACGCCAGCATATTCTTCACATTCCTCTTCGTCATCCCAGTCTCTCCAGAGAACATCATAGAAAAACCTTGATTTGTCAAAATGTAAATTAAGTTCGAATGTTACATAACCATCTGTGTTGTAGAGAGCTGTTCTACATAGAATATTCAGCCTTCTTTAATGTGTGTTCACATAAAACCAATAAACATTGTCTCTAAAAGAACTCAAATCTGAACACTTAATTGATGTTCTGTAAACCACTGAGGAACAATTTACTAGTGTTTTATAATGACAAGAATACATCATGACAATCATTGGAATTACGTAATTTTTCAATTAATTAACAAATAAAAGCCATAAAGGACCAATTTTATACCAATACAACTAATTTTCTCAGTGTGCTTATTAAATAAAAATCAAATACTGTACCGTGCATTTTCCAAAGCTTGGGCAATGTTTTTCATTGAACTATCTAATCCCTCTATGGGGTATACATCCAGAACTGGGACACAGTAATCATGTTCTTTCAATATTTCCTCAGCTAGCTCTCTTGGCAGATTAGAAATATTTGAAGAAAATGGCTCCACAATGGAAACAGTGACTCGCAGAGGAGGAAGCATTTCTTGACATGGCTTGCTATTCACCTAAAAGAGTTTTTTTACCGATTTAATTATGCAGCACAATGTGCATTAAACTGTAAAATACAAAATTAACAAAATACACACTTTATTGTAGTCGTAAAGGAGAATGTTTACCTAAACAAGTTAATTTTTTTTAAATTTTAGGATTCTTATTCACTTTTAATGTCTTGTTTTCACATTGATGTTTCCCCACTTGCTGTAGATGAGATATTTTACTTAAGTCTTTATAAAATGACTTCAAGGTCAATTTCAGAACAACGTACCTCAACTAGAATACCAACATAAGGTATCTGGCCATCTTCACAGTTTCTAAAGAAGTACTCTGGATTTGTTTTCCATACTCCAATCCAAGAACTGTTAGTGGCAAGGTTTTTGATCAAATAGTTGCTTAGAGCTTCATCGGCATCCTCTGCCTAAACTCACATCGGAAACATAAGTGAGCGTTTGCAAACACAAAATAGATGTGAAATATCAGTATGAGCCGTGCTTGTGTAGCCCTACAGGCTAAGAGCAGAGTGTAGAGGAGAGAGGTGCCAAAGATCAGATAGAGGTATGGTAATAATAATAATAATTGCTCACGTTTATATAGTGCTTTTCTGGACACTCCACTCAAAGCGCTTTACAGGTAATGGGGACTCCCCTCCACCGCCACCAATGTGCAGCATCCACCTGCAATGGCAGCCACGGTGTGCCAGTATGTTCACCACACACTAGCTCTCAGTGGGGAGGAGAGCAGAGTAATGAAGCCAATTCATAGAGCGGGATTATTAGGAGGCCATGATTGGTAAGGACCAATGGGAAATTTGGCCAGAATGCCGGGGTTACACCCCTCTCTTTTCGAGAAATGCCCTGGGATTTGTAATGACCACAGAGAGTCAGGACCTCGGTTTTACGTCTCATCCGAAGGACGGCGCCTGTTTACAGTATAGTGTCCCCGTCACCATACTGGGGCATTAGGACCCACATGGACTGCAGGGTGAGCGCCCCCTGCTGGCCCCACCAACACCTCTTCCAGCAGCAACCTTAGTTTTTCCCAGGAGGTCTCCCATCTAGGTACTGACCAGGCTCACACCTGCTGAGCTTCAGTGGGTGACAGACCCTCTTTTTCATGAAGATAAAGCTCGTTAGGAAAGGGTTAGCAGGTAAAAACCAGCAGCTGTGGCTTGGAGCTCTGAGGCGGTCTCTGGTAGGAGATGCTCACATTGCGTGACTGAAGTTTGTACTATTACTGTACCTTGCATTGTCCCAGAATCTGGTCGCAGAACAGGGCAGCCCTCTCCACATGGCTGAATCTGTGACTGGAGATGTAAACTGGTGGTAGGTTCAGTGCTTGCTGTGTCGTCTCAGCACACCCCTCTCCCTCAGGTGACGGTGTGAGAAGCCTCCTCCGCACGGCTGTCTTCGGGTGGAGGCCTGGCGTCTCCGAGCCGGTTTCCACACCTGCAGCTCTGACCCCGGGGCACTGCTGTGGGGCCTCTGCTGCGTCTGGTTTCATATTTTCTCCTTCCTCCGACCCTCGCTCTGCGTTCTGGTCGGCCGTACCACCCGTTAAGGGGCCGTGTTTCGGTGAGCTCGGAGCACCGTTCAAAAACATTTGAAAGCCTCTAGTGTTTTTTTTCTCCTCGTCGTATGCGTTCGTTGCGTCTTCCGTTGGACATTAACGGCCGGTTGACGTCACAGGAACTGGCACGAGCATGACTGTGTGGCACGTGAAAAGTAAGGTACGTTCAAGAAGAGAGGCTGCACCAAAATCACCAGTATTATTATTAACCACTAACCGGTTTAAACGTGTTAATGTAAAAGCCGGTACATCTTTGCACCAGGCAAGGAAGACCACCGTCCTCTTCGAAAAGTCTTTGAACGTATCCAATTAATTTTTCTGTCATTACTAATTTACAGCTGGACAGATACTGTATTCTTGCGGGGCGACAGCCTCACAATTTAACACATCGTTTGTTCACCTATCAGCTGAATACTGAGTCAGGCTCAGAGCTTTATTGTCTCCCGAGTGAAGAGACAATAAAAGATCAAAAAAACTTTGTGTGATTACAGTATCTGTCATGTTAACCTGTCCTTTTTTGAATTAAATTGTTTCGCTACCTCTTTCTGTAGATTAAACATAGCGTGCTTCATAATTAGATAAGTGCCATGTAATATATTTATTAAGCAGCTTTGCGAGATATAGTTTTAGATTAAAACCACACTTCATACAGATTATTTTAATTAGAAGCTGTAGATAACTTTTAAAAATCACACGTATTTTTTAAAGAGGAATATTTTACTTTTCTGATATCCTGTTATTAGGAAATTGATGATAATACAAGGAATTACAAACTAATAGTTTTATTTTCCAATGGCATTTAAGGTGTCTGTATCGGGTTGGTATTTGAACTGAAATCATACATACACACTAGATGTCACTCTAACCTTCTTGGAATTTTATTGACTTTTTTGTTTTAAAAACAGACGTGGACATTTACAAATTTAAAATGTTTTGTTGTGGTACGTTTTATTTAGCGCAAAAGGGAATTCTGCAATGTTTCAATGTAATTTGTATTGATTCAGGGCTGTTTGGTAAATATAATTTCAATATAAATTAAATCTAATGTTCCAAGTGTATTACAAGGAAAATAAAATATTAGACAAGATTATTCAATACTTTTTTGACATTCATTTTATGACGACAGTCCTAGTTCTAATCAACGCCATTCTATAAGCAAAGCCGTTTTATAATCAGTTTATCTCAATTGAAGTATTTTCCAAGACTTTTCTTTACTTGAACTACAACACGGCGATAAATAACTTCTCTCAAGCAAATCTAACTATCCAACAGCTTCATTTTTATAGATAACAATGTAAAACTTTGAAGCTAAAATGATTGAAAAGTGCAAGATGTGTTATGGATAGAATCTCTTTCTCTCAGCTGTTTATCTCTGCGGCCTTTGCAAACATGTGCTCTTAAACTTGAATGACATGAAAGTACTGGCGTGGAGCTCTCTAAGGAAGCCTGTTAAATTCTGTAAGATAAATCAGTTTAAAAGCACCATTCATCATCTCACCCTTTATCTTTTTCGGAAGATGATAGCTTGCCCCTCTAATATGACATACATAGGGGTAATTCTGGGGGCAGAGGGGGAACAGACTAAACAGTCATTGTCAAGCAATTCAGCTGGAATCAAAGCATTGTCTGATGTTGTAATACCCATCTCTAAGGACCGCTATTGTTGGGTTAAAGTTAAATAGGAAATCGGCTCTCTGCATTATCATCATGATTATTATAAGGCATTGTTATGCTTTGAGACTCTGAGGAAAAAGCTGATCTCCTTTACAGTGTACTTTAAAAAAATCACGTTAAGACAGGTTTTGGCTTGCCTTCCTCCTGACACATGGATGTTATGTGGACCCTGAGACAAAACCTTTAAGGATAATTGCACAGATGTGGGAAATTCAGAAACGGGGGCCAAATTATGGACAGTGGAGAAAATCTGTCTGTTTAGTGGGAAAAGACAGGGTATTTTATTGTGTTGTTGGTTTATAATGACAACTCTGTTTAGGCCTATAGTATCTTAATGTATGACATACTGTATATGCTTTGATGTTTCACTGGTACATTCCATTTGGTTGACTTAGTATTTCCGTAATACTAGGAACAAAGCCGTACAAAAGGACATACCATGTCTAATTCACTCAGGGGTGACTAGATGCATATCTTCACCAAGATGAGGCATCAGCTTCAATAACATGGCTGGGTAGCTTGTTCAGTTCCAAAGTAAAACTTGTCACATGTAGATGAAGCACACCAAAATTCTCTCTATCCCCATTTAAATACCAGAGATAACACACTATGTCACTGAAACAAGAATCCAACATCTATCCTTTCCTTTTGCTGTACTACTGTGGAACTGTAATTAATAAAACAGGTACTACTTATGTAAAGTAAAATACAGTAGAACCGAAGAAAATTATTGCACTTTATTAATACTACAACATTTGATGGACATAAGCACATCAACAATCCAAATAATAGTATAGTATTATGTACTATTGTACATAAAGAAGCCTTTCTTCATCTAATTAATTGAGGTTCAGAAGGAATTTTCTTAAAGTGTTTGGAATTTTCACAACATTTCACAGTGTTCTTTAGAGTTTCCTCATGAGAAATGTAGACAGTATATCTTTAGATTGGTTTACAAAACCCACGGTGTATGGCAATTCACCTATTATTTAGAGTAAAAGAAGTCCAGCTAATTTGTTGTGTACAGGGAATACATTTGTGAAGATTGCTTTTCTCCGACTCAGATCCACATGTACTGATAGCATATCATGAGCTATAAAACAACAATAAAATGTAATTTTCCCTTAAAGATAAACCCTTTATAACTATGTGTCATCACCTAAGAAAATCTGTTTCATGTAACGCTTGAGTTAGAACTGATCATCAGAATCGCAAAGCCTGGCACTTTGTACTGAATGTATTGAAAATCATTTCGTGCTGCTTCATGAACTAAAGAGTTAGTCTTTCATTACACATTACATGATGGAGTCTTGTGAGTGTCTTAACAGTTAATTTGCATTTTCTCCACATAGATTGATTGATCTTCTTCATCCAGCCTGGGTCATGTCTCTAGACAAGTGCTATATTCACAAAGCTGTAGCATGCATTTGGCTTTGTAATGCTGGGAGTACAGTTAATAATAATTCCTTACACTTACATAGCACTTTCCTGGACACTCCACTCAAAGCCACTACCACCAATGTGTTAGCCCCCACTTGGATGATGGAAAGGCAGCCAAAGTGTGCCAGTATGCTCACAACACATCAGCTATCAGTGGAGAGGAGAACAGAGTGATAAAGACAATTCATAGATGGGGATTATTAGGAGGCCAGGACACCAGGATAACACTCCTACTCTTGTCAAGAAACACCCTAGGATTTTTAATGACCACTTTAATGATCACTGAGAGTCATGACCTCTGTTTTACATCTCATTTGACATTTCATCTACATCTCACCCGAAAGACAGCATCTTTTTAACAGTATAGTGTCCTCATCACTATACTGGGGCAGTGGGACCAACACAGACCACAGGGTAAGCACCCCCTACTGGTCCCACTAACACCACTTCCAGCAGCAACTTTTTAACTTTACCAGGAGGTCTCACATCCAGGTACTGGCCAGGCTCACACCTGCTGAGCTTCAGTAGGCTGTCAGTTGTGAGTTTCAGGGTGATGTAGCTGCTGCCAGTTAAGCTTAGTGGGCTAGGGTTACAAAATCAGTGACCCTGTATGAACACCTGCTTGTTTAGAGACCTGTGATATCACAGTATAAAATCATGAAACAACTGTGAATTCTATTTTTCTTAAAAACAAAACATTGAACTATAAACAAAAATGCTGCTAGGTAATCATTGACCATTTTTCATTATGAAGCTAGAAAACAGTATATGAATATTTTGTAATCAACCCCCTGATAAAATTATGCAGTCTTATTTGTCACTTCAGATCACATGTGTGTTCTTAAATAGGCTTGTTTTATGACTATATACTCTCATGTTAGTAATATGATACCCAGAAGAATTTATGTTATCCAGTTGCAGACATAAATGTTTATTTTTAGCCATGATTCTCTGTCAAGCTGAGTTTTTTTTTCTCTGAAGCAGTTGTCCACTTTTTGCATTTAGATTTGGAAAAAAAACAAATGCTGTATAAACGGGATGTAAGACAATGTTTACAATTCCGGTATCCATGTTCCCAGAAACAACACTTTTATGTGAAAAAGTTCACTTCCCTGTCATGTGCACATCTGTTTGCATTTTATTAATGAATGTGTACTTAAATGCTTAAATTGAAATCATTTCCTTCAAAAGGACAGCGAGTCAGTTTAAAATGCCAATGGTGAAATTAAACAGCTGGACTATAACAGGCACTATCTTGTTTTCCATAAGATTCCCCCAAAGCTAGAACAACATACATGTACAGTACATCAGGGATTTTTGAAGTGCTTCTATGGCACCCAAGTGAGCAGAAAGGATGCTATCTTGAGAATCATTTTTAAAATCTTGCATGCTGACTCTCAGAGCATAATTTTAGCATCAGAGATGTGAATCATTCTGTGGGCTGTTATCACTGTGGTTATCCTGGTGCCCCAGTGACTGGGTGTAATATTCTTGTAGACTACCATAAGTACAGGAATGATGTAAATAACCCTTTTTTATACATCTAAGTTGGATCCCTCAGAAGGCCCAGTAGTTTATTTCTGGAAATATTATGAGTATC